ATATATCATTGAAAATACAAAGATTTACACTTACTTGGCATCTTTAAGGATGAGTTCCAATTTTGTATTTAACCCACTCTTTCCTCTTATTGGAACATTATCTTTCAGCCCCACATTCAATACTTGTCCAATGAAATCTATATTAATAAATAAATGTAAAGAGTGAATAATTATAAAGATACGACAATCTTTGAAATATATCAAACATAACAATTAAAAGAGAAATAGTGTTTGGAATTACCGATCAATATGTTTTTATTGAGTTTTCCATCCAAAATTTTTGAGAAATCAATGAAATATTGTTCCGGTAATTCTGGCGAAAACCCTACAGCTGGTTTGGTCTTACTTGTCCGAATAAATACCAACTTAATTGGAAAAAGGAAGGTTCTGTACTCTCAATAATATTCTTTTAGCATAAAAGCATTGATGCTAATATCTTCACCTTCTTTCAAAACATTTCGATGTTTTTCTATAAAACATTCTTCCACAATTGCATGAATCCTTGTTCCCTCAAAAGATTGCAACCATCAGACAATTAAAGTAGTAATTTTAAGAAGTAAAAGTAAAACTTAATAATAGAGAAATAATATTTAATAAGAAAAAATATAAATAATAACAAATCTCTTCATCGACAAGGACCATTGCGATTGATTTATCAACACCAGTTATAAAAGAATTCCATAAAACTTGGATATGTGATTTGATCTTTTGCACTTTAGATGCTGGATCGAGATTATTTAGCATGATGAACTGGGATGTTCTACTTTTAACGATAGACATTGCATAACAATGGTATGTGTTTGAAAATGTATCTGATCTCAGCTGGTGTATTGATTTTTTAAGTAGCAATATATAATGACTTATAATGTTATTAAATGTAGGGAACATAATTGATTGGCCGAAATATCTTACATTCCAAACTAATAAAGAAACATATATTTCATGTAATAATTGATCGGCCAGTGTATTGTTATTTATAGTCATTTAGTTTTGCTAATAAATTGATATACAATTAGTTTTATGAGATATATTTTATTACTAAAATAAATTTTTGGTAGATATAAATGCAATATTATAAAATATTTATATTATATGAATCTAATTGATAATTTCCTTATTGGTCGGCCGGCGTATTGTTATTTACGGTCATTGAAAATGCTAATAAATTGATAGACAATGAAATGCAATTGACTGTATTTAATAAATTGATCGGGCAGTTTATATGTTTTCTATATTTAGCATCATATCTATATCAGTAAATGAATTATTGACTGTATGAAAATATTTTAAAAATTTGTATCATAATCTATATCACAAAATAATCACCTATGGGCTTGATTGGTTGTTGCTGTAGATGCTGTACAAAGCAATATTTATGTTTAAAGCTCTAAATCATACCAATCATGCTTTATAAACTCCGTCTTTCCTTTATTTGCTCACAGCCAAAATATTTCCTTTTTTATTTTTTTGGCTGTACAAAACATTATTTTCTAAAGAACATAAATTTATGCTTTCCAAATTTTACAATTCTACAGCCAAAATTTTAAAGAAATAAAATCTACAGCTACAGCAAAAAAACCTACAGCCACATTTCTACAGCAAAAACATAAAGCTACAGCTGTTACTAATCAAACCCTATAAATCCAATTTTCAAAATATATATATCACTAAAATATTGACTGTATCGAAATCTATATCACTAAATGAATTATTGACTATAGCATCCTACTATTAGGAAACCATGAAAAACAGATGAGTTTTCTAAAGTACCTGAGATTTGATAAAACCTGCAATTTTCGGTGATGCAACCAACGACGATCCCCTGAAGATACAAACATTTCCGTTTGGTTGGTAACAGATCGCAGAAATGGAATCACGAACATCGGTCCAAGCAACGACTCTCTGTTCTGATAAACCCCAGATTGGAGCTTGTCCTTAGAAGCCGAAAGAAGCAACTGTGAAAAAAAAAAACCAAACACAGATTCATAAGCAATAGAGCAAGAAATTGAATAGATACATAATTATTCTTCAAGTATCCAAACATGAATAGAAAGCAAACATTTTACTTATGACACTTTTATTAGGGTGGGCTGTGTCTTTTTTTTGAAATCCTTTGCTCCAAACCAAGCAAAACCAAATCAGTCCACTGAAACTGGCTTCATCTCTTCTGCTTCTTTCCTCAGCTCATGAAACAGAACAGACAACATGTATCTCTCTCCAAACAGATCAAACCATTTTATGAGCTTTCTGGACATTCCAATCTCTCTCTTTAAGAAAGCGCAGCAAAGTCTCTGTAGGATACCCTTGATGAATGCTCTGCAGCATTTTTTAAAAATCCACCGAGAATTTATAAATCACAAGTCAATTGACAATTGTGGGTTTGACATGTGTCATTCATTGTTTTTAAATAAAAATATTTTTCTTTTTATATTTTTATAATTTCTTAATTGATTATAAATTTTTGTTGGATCCATGATCCATAATATTTCAAATTTATCTAAAATCCCTATATTTTCTTAAGCAACTGTTATTCCACTCTTCATGATCCCTCCCTGCAATCTAATAAGAGAAGAAAACACGGCAGTTTCTTCAGTCATCATATATTACGGAATCGCCAAGAAAAAAAGTCATCCAGTTGTTCTTCTTGGTGCAAAAATCAAAATGTTTGCTATAATAAATTTCACAATCTTCTTTTTCTTAAAGGAAAAGTGATGATTTTAGGACATTCAGCGTTTGAAGTTCACCAGAAAATATAACGATGTCATGGATTGCGATTTCCTCAGTTTCCGGTAGAGCACGACGACAATGTATGGTATCTGAAGCAACTAACAAGTGTTCAAACTTTTCGACTTAACGGTAACACTCACGCGGATTTCAACGGAAAACAATAATATTTACTTAATTTTGTTTTCTAACAGGATATTTTCCACATATTGTAGATACAAAAATCAATATGAATCACAAGTCAATTGACAATTGTGGGTTTGACATGTGCCATTCATTGTTTTTAAATAAAAAATATTTTCTTTTTATATTTTTATAATTTCTTAATTGATTATAAATTTTTGTTGGATCCACGATCCATAATATTTTAAATTTATCTAATAAATCCCTATATTTTCTCAAGCAACTGTTATTCCACTCTTCATGATCCCTCCCTGCAATCTAATAAGAGAAGAAAACACGGCAGTTTCTTCAGTCCTCATATATTACGGAATCGCCAAGAAATAAAGTCATCCAGTTATTCTTCTTGGCGCAAAAATCAAAATGTTTGCTATAATAAATTTTACAATCTTCTTTTTCTTAAAGGAAAAGTGATGATTTTAGGGCATTCAGCGTTTTAAGTTCACCAGAAAATATATCGATGTCATAGATTGCGATTTCTTCAGTTTCCGGTAGAGCACGACGACAGTGTATGGTATCTGAAGTAACTAACAAGTGTTCAAACTTTTCGACTTAATGGTAATACTCACGCAAACTTCAACGGAAAATAATAATATTAACTTAATTTTTATTTTCTAACAGGATATTTTCCACATATTGTAGATACAAAAATCAAAGCGAAATGGTGAAGCGAATCTTACCTCCAATGTTATTCTTTGTGTGTTATTCAAATTCTTACTTAAAATATCCAATCATGAGAGTAAAAGATTTGACTTGACTGAACTATACATGTTTAGAATGTAAGTAGTTCTCAATTTCAAATTGATTTGTTTCCATCAGCTAAGTATGTTATTAATGAGGCTTTTAAATCTGGTTTTTCAAAGATAGATCATGTCCACGTGCAAATTTATATATGTAAATGACTTGATTGTGATCTGAATTATGTTGTTTCTCATTCAGTATTTGTATGCCGACCAACAATTAAGCTTTGATATTGTAGTATTGGTATACTATATGTTTCTATCAATAACCTATATTTCTCTTCTTATTTCTTCTCACTCATCTAACTAAGTCTCTCTCTTGAAGGTGGATGATTACCAACTACATCAAAGCAGCCATTCTTCTGGGGACACACACAAGTAGAAACTCAAAAACGTGATCCAAACTTCCAAGCATTGAATGTCGCTGGAAAGGACGGTGTCATGATGAATAAGTTGAGTCTCAATGGAATTGGCTTCATAACAAAGACAACCTTGTGGCTTTTTCGAGAAAGATGAAAACGAAAACAAAAGGAAATTGAAGAAAGTGATCCATGTGTCAATTTGGATCGGAAGAAGGACAAAAACAAATAGTTCATTCTTCATAGTATTCTTTTTTTCTCCAAATGTTTTGAAGTAATTTTTATGAAATTTTTATTTTATTTTAAATACTAACTTTCACTTTAATTACACCGACGTTTTAAACAAAACTGAAACAGTACAATTAGGAAGCAAAAATTATTACATGAAGAAATTTTAAAACTTATTGCTGAGAGCTTGATTGCAAGTCTTGGAACATTTGAATATTAGATTCCAAAACAAATTAAAAAGTAATATTTGTTATATGTTTCTATATGTGTTAAACTACTCAAAGTTACATTATGTTAGTGTGTTCAAAACATTTCAGGTCAATGTAAACATTTGGTGAAATAATATTAAAACTATATCGATCAGTTATGAACACCTTAATTTTTAAAACATTTTTTTGCCGTACGAAGTACGGGGATAATACTAGTAACCTATGAAACACCATATTTAATTTTGTCTGGTTAATTATGGGTCTAAGAGTAAAGCCCAGCCGACGAAGAATGGGCGAAGCGAAACTTTCACGGCCATCTCTATATATGCTACAAATTTCCCTTGAAAGCCAATATCTGATTTTATTCTAGCCGTTGAAATTTCATTTTCTCTTCTCTCTCGCTCTCTCTCTCTCTGGTTTACGTTTGGCGACAATCCTTAAAACCCTAATCGAAAATCGCTTGCTCCTGCTTCCGACTGTTCGCGATTTGATCAATATCCGGTTCTGCGATTCCTCTCAGTCTTTCGTTTTCTCGTGAATCTAGGGTTTCGACAGCAACGATGATGACTCACAGTTTTCCGAAGGGATTGCACTCTTTCAACATCAGAATATACAAGATTGTGGATGATCATTTGTTGGATCCAATCATCTCTTGGAGTGAAAGCAACAATACTTTCATCGTTTGGGATCTCAAATGGCTCTGCAAAAAGATTCTCCCGAAATGCGTTGGATTGGGCAGAAACTACCCTCACTTTTTCTCAGAGCTTCAGTATCGTGGATTTGAAAGAGTCAACGGGTTTGAGCAATTGGAGTTTGGACATGAAAACTTCGTGAGAGGCCAACCTCATCGCCTGAGGAAGATGGTTTTGCAAGTTTGGATGCAGATGATGGAGAAAATTTGAGCTAACCTTTCAATCAAATATTACCCAAACCAAAGTCATGATTGCTCGAGCCGAGGCAAAGAATGATAGAGTCCAGGTAGAGAAAATCCTGCAAGATTTACGAATCTGATCCAACATCATCAAACGAAATATGTTTTTTTTTGTAGCTCTTATTTTATGTTTGATCTATTGACTAAATTACTTTTAATGAATCTATAGAAATTTAATGGCATATATTATAAATAACACAGTAACTAAATGTTAATTTAAAATAATGATTCTCTTTTAATAGTATAGACTTTGAAAAAATTTGATAATAGGGCGGCCCATTATTAATATCCCAGAGAAACAAGCTTTAATGTTGGCTCTCGTCGAACAACACTTAACACCTAAAACCCTATAACCTGCAATCGATTCCTTTCCGTTTCTATCTAAAATGGCCGCCCAGATCCACGTTTACATCAATGCTGAGAACACCACTATTCCTAAAGGACTTTCCCCGGCTAATTTAGTGTTGAATCTCGGTGCTGCATTGGGGGGAGGTCCTCGAGATTGACGAGGGTTTTAGGGTCCACATGGTTGTTGGAACAAAAAAGAGAATGGGTAGTAAAAAAAAAGCTCGGCTTACAGATGAGTCTCCGAAGAAAATGATAGTATTCTGAAATACCACAACCTTAAGAACCGAATGCAAAAGAAAAAATAAATAGAAAATAATGAAATATTTTGTTTCTATGTAAAATTATTTTGTTGAAAAACTCAAACCAAAAAGTTATACTATTATAAATTTTAATATTATTAATGTATAGAGAGAATTTTGGCTTGAACTTTGATGGTCGTCAACAGATTATAGCAAATTATTTTGGATAGTTTTAGTGGAGACATACCTCATTATAGAAAATTATTTTGGATAGTTTTAGTGGAGACATCTACACTATTAAAAGAAGATCACTTCAAATGTTTAAACATAAATCATGTGTTATATTACATGAAATACCATTGTATTTTAACCTTTTCTTTAGAATTTCATTAATGGTAGTTTAGTCATTTGTTAATACAACCAATTAATATTTATTTTATTTTTTCTTTATTTAATTCTTATATTTCTATTACCAAACACATTAATTTCCAAATACTATTTGGATTAGTTTAATTCTAATTACCAAACACATTTAAATAATTTAAATATTTACATAAATAGTTATTTCGAAAACTTTAATTAATCTTAGAATTAATTACATCCAAGTTTACATAAAACGAAATTATAATTATAATTACTATATATGTATAAGATTAAATTATAAACAATTATACAATTTCGTCTATTTTGCGAAAAAATAACAAATAATAATTTTCAAATATTTATTATTATGTAACAATATAAGAAAATAAAAATTATAATTAATATAATTAAATTATATACATTTACACAATATAAAAGAAAAATCACAAAAAAATTATTTGAAAAACAAAAATCATATTTTTATTATTATGCAATAATATAACCAAACACATATGTTTATAGGAAAATAAACTAAAACCTAATTTTTATTAATAATTATAAATTATTTTTTATATGTTTAGTGCAATCTAATATTAAATTAAATTTTGATTAAATTAATTTCAAATTTAAAAGGATCATGATCAAATTTAAAAAAAAACTATGATTAATTAACAGTAAATTATAATAAACATATAATTTTATTTAAATTATATTTATTTCTATAAAATATCAAATGAATCGATTTTGTAATATTTTATTAATATTTGATTACTAAAATTATTGAGCAAGCTTCCCAAATAAAAATCAAAATATTTTGTAATTAAGAAACAGTAACTGCATAAATTTAAAGTATATTCTTAAAAATATGGATTTTAGCATATTTTCAAAATATTACAAACAATATTGATAAATTTTTTATTGTAGATGTAATAACATATTAATAATAGGAAAAGTCAGTAAATTAATAAAAAAATTTCATAATTTACAATTAACATAATAAAACTATTTATGATAATAGTATTTCAATAAAGTATAAGAAAAATAAAAACAGTAACTCACATTATCTTATTTTTTCTAATTTGTTTTGGCTAGTTTTTTTCCCTATTTAGATTTTCAAAAAAAAAATATCTTTGCAAACATCAATATTTTTTAGTCGAAATTAATTTTTTATATGTTAAATATTTTGTTTCAGTTTGTTTACTATGTATATGGTTGTTATTTTTAATCTTTTTAGTTTTAAATTTATCATTTTTTGTTTGACAAAGAAGAAAAAGAACAAATAAGAAGGAGAAGAAGAAGGAGGAGAATAAAGAGAAGGGATAGATGAGAAAAAGAGTAGATGAAAAAAAATAACAACAGAGAAAAAGAAAGAGAAAAAAAATAGAAGAACATGAGAAGAATGAGAATAAGTGATAAAGAAGAAGAAGGAAAAGAAAGGATAATAAGAAGGGATGGAAAAGAAGAAAAACGAATGAGAAGAAGGAGAAGTGATGACGAATAAGACCAATAGAGAAGATGAAAAAAACGGAAAATGAAAACGGAGAAGAAAGAGAATGGATGAAGAAGAAGAAGACATAAAGGAGGAAGAGAAGAAGAAGACGGAGGATAATAAGGAGAAGAAGGGATGAAGAAGAATATGGATACAAAGAAGAAGAAGAGGAAGAACAACGAAAGAGAAGGAGAAGAATGAGAAGAAAGAATGAAAAAGAAGAAGAAGAAGGGATGGAGGAGAAGACAAAGGAGTAACCAAGAGTTGTTAACTTGATTGGTAAATGATCTAGGCAAAGCTAAGAGATCACATGATCGAGTGACGCTTATGATTAAACTAATATTACATGATGTGGTTTCGGGCCTGCAGAGATTGCAGGCTTCGACCCAGACCTTCATGGTAATCCAAAAAAGGAAGAAAGAGAAAAACGGAGAAAAAGAAAAACAAAAGATAAAAAGGAGAATGAGAAGAACAAAAATAAATGAAGGAAGAGAAGAAGAAAAGATGAAGAAGAAGCAGGAGAAACAGAAAGAGAAGAAAAGAGAAAAAAAAAAAAGAAACATATAATAGAAAAAAGAAGAGAAGAAAACCATAAAAAAAAGAAACATATAATAGAAATGAAGAAGAAAGAATAGGAAGGGAGAAGGAGAAAAAAAAAACTAAATACAATATTAAAAGACATAAATTTCATATAAAACCAATAACATATTATGATATTTTACAATAACAACTCGTGTGTCTACAATATTGAATTAGTTGCACGTAACTTATATTATCTTATTTTTAATTTTATATTTTTGTATTTACAAAATTTAATTTTAATCCTCATAACACATAAATAAACAATATATTATTAATATAACTATAGTTTTTTTTGTAGGAGGGGGTGGGGGAGACATTATCTCCTGATTTTATTCAAAACATAAAAATCAGCTACACACAAACTCTTCTTGGGCGTGCAGAACAGATCATATCGTACTGAAAATCAAAACTAAACTAGGTGGAACCGATTTTTAAAACTGGACACCTGGAGGAAGGGAAAAAGCAGAGTTAGCTAATCCATCAGCAAGACAATTAGCTTTTCTGTTAGCAAAAAAAAGACAATTAGTTTTCTATACACATATGAAAAACAGACTATTTATTCTCTCGAAATAAAGTCATGATACATATGTACCAAAAAACAGACTATCTTATAATATAGTATATAATAAATCTTCTTATACTATATAATTTAAACATTTATATAATTTACTTCAAAAATCATATATCTGCGAGAGCACGCAGGTCTAATATCTAGTACCTCGTTAAACAATAATTTTAGTGGAGACATACCTCATTACCTCTAATTATAGTCAAATGGATCTCCTTGATCTATCGAACAACACTTTCAGTGGTTCAATTCCCCGATGCTTACCGGAATTTATAGGAGTGTTGACATATCCCGTAACTAACGGAGTAACGGGAGTCTGCCACCAAATTATTTTGTGAATATAATACGAAGCCTTGAGGTACAAGGAAACTTTGTATTTTATTAGCTATCACAAGATCTGAAGTACGAAAAATTTGGTTCAAAACCTCATAATCATCAACCATGCATGGTTTATATGAAATTTAACGATCATTCATTTGGAAACATCAGATAAAATAGTGCATACGTAATTGCTGACGATGGAAAAAAAATCATATGACTACTTGCACTCTAACGATTAACCATGCATGGTTGACGATGTAACAAGAGAATTCTTTAAGTTAAAAATTGACTTGACGAATCTTAAGGAAGAAGCTAACGAGATCTTTTTTATGTGTTGATCCAAAAAATCAAATCAATTATTCGGTTTGTCTTTCTCCGATGTAACGACTTATAACATCATCCTAACGTACGTACATATTACATATCTTTACCAAATATATTAGTTAATTGTAACTTACAGAATAGTTCTCTGCACGTAAACAATATTAAAATCTGGCTTAAAAGGTTAATTATCTATTAATAATCAAATATTGTTAGGGACAAATAAAGTTGGGGATGTTTTGGAAATTTGGTGGTGTTATGAAAACGAAACTAGTACGTAACACCGTTTACTTGTTTGGATCCTTTATGTGGAGCAGTGGAGGCACCATTCACCTATGACTTTGTGACTTGCAAAGTAAGAAACAGACTGAGATTTTTACTTCTAGCTTGATGCGTGGATGCCTTGTGTTTCTTTCTCCGTTCTTAGTGATATTTATTCTACCAAGTTAAGTTATTTCTGTAATTTACTTGTACAACTCTAATTTTGACCCCCACCAACAATTTGAACGATGAAAATAAGAGCGTATACCATTTCAAGTATATGTAGTAAGAGAGTTTTGAAATTCAATTTACTTTACTGATTTTTTTACAATATCCCCGAGGCATTACAAAAGAAGCTCTCTCTCTCTGTTAACTCATGCTATCTCAAGTACATATTAAATCAATATTGCTAAACTTTGGTGGCAGCTAAGTTCCAAACACGCAGCTTCCCACTCTTGTCTCCACTGAATAAGAGTCCGTCATGCCCAATTGTGAGTGTGCCGATGGTGTGCGTCGAGAACATCTTTCCTCTTTCTTTAAAACTGTGTCACCCAAAATAAGGAAGGAATGATTCAGAATTTGATCAGAAAGAATGAAAAACTGATTAGAGTGATTCTAGGACTAAGATTCACTTACGATGGTAGATCGTAGATGCTGACTGTCCCGTTTTGGTAAGAGCAGAACATGATCGGTTTGACCTCTCCGTCGTTCATCCCACAAAGAGCATGCACGCTCTGTTTCAAACAATCAAAATGCTTTTTGTTAGAACCAAAGTTGTCGTTATTGTTATGACGAGAGGGAGGATATAGTGTATATACAACAAAACTTTACCTGTTCTTGTCTACGCGTATCCACGATTTTAAAACTGCCATCTTCAGAACAAGCCCATACTTTTATTGTTCCATCCAATGAAGACGAATACAGAAACTGATCCCAACATAAGAGCGACGTGACAGTGTCCGTATGTTGCCTCAAGGTCATTGTACATTCCAGTGTGTTGAGATCCCACACCTTTATTGTTTTGTCCACAGAGCCAGAGTAAAGTCGCTCTCTTCCAACAATAAAACACGTGACTTGGCCACTATGATGTCCCTCGAGAGATGTGAGGTATGTGAAAGGTTCAGACTCGATGTCAGTAATTTTCCAGACAGATATGCTACCAGACTGCATTTCCAACAAAAAAATAAGAAACTTTTACTTTAGATGATCCATCGACGAAGCAGAGAACTAACACAAAGTAGAAAAGCAAGGGAGATTTTTTAAAGTTAAGATGCTTACACTTGTCCCAGCAAAAAGCATTCCATTTGCAACAGTGATAGCATGGACCTGACCAACCACCCCGTTAAGATGCAACTCTTTACTGGTTTGAACGTTAAAAGCCTGCAGAATTGTATAAACAAAAACTTTGAGATCAGAATCAACACAACAATCACACGAGTAAAGAAGAATGGGCATTAGCATAATTGCGTTAAGAGAGGCCATAAACTAACCTTTACAGCATTTGGCAAGCCAAGGAAAACCCATGATCCTTCGCTGATTAGAGACCCTGCTTCTGCCTGGAGGTTGGTTGAATGAACACACTGGCCAGTGTGGCAGTCCCATATGCGCAATGTACCATCGCTACTGGCGGAAAAGAGTTTATCTGAACCCGTAGGAAGTGCAATCCCTTTTAGATCCTATAGGATAAAAGATTAACATGTTAACAAGATACGTTTTCTGTTTAGTAAAACAACAAGTAGAAAAGAAAAAAAGCTTAAAGTACCTTCTTGTGTCCTTCAAGAGAAGCTACCATAGCCATTCCAGGGAAGCAACACCAAGAGTGCAAAAACTGGCATTGATCACCCCTCTTGCAGTTTCCAGCTTTCCAAAACTTACATATACAATCCCTAGGATTGGGACTGCCATTGTCTCTCGACCCCCAACCTCTGTTGTTCGAAACAGACGAGCTTCTTTGCACATACCCACCATTCTTTCTCAGCTGGTTTGACACACTAGACCCTGTGCCTAAGACTGCTGGTTTCGATGACCCATGGGTGTTATCGTTCTTACTTGGCCTGTTGCCATCAGATGCCGTCCAAACCAGATTCCTTGACCACTTAGAGGGACCTCTGTTCATTCTATGATTCTCGTAAGGAGCATAGTGTCTTCTCGGAACTATATCCGCTGCAAAACCTTCTTGTCTTTCCACTCCAAAGTCCCTCCTGTTTGAGTGTCTCCTTGGCGCCTTATGATTCATTCTATAAATATTGAGAAGAAACCAACTTTAGAAGACTGACCACAGAATCGAGCACTGTTGCTTCATCCATGATGTTCCCTCTCAGAAGAGTAACACGCTTCCAAGGAGTAAGAAGAAGATCAAAAGCTCCAATCTTCTGATGACCCCAAGTTCATGCTAACAATCGTCGAGCACCGCGTCCACAGAAAATACTAAATAAATCTAATCTCCATTCGGAACCCTAATCTTATTTCCCTAACAATCGAAGTATTCCTTCAATTCCAGACAAGCCACCGATGGTCGATCTTCCGAGAATCCACATGATTCGATGAATTTCACAACCCTAACTATAAAACCCTAACTAACTACAACAACAATAAGACCCAATAATATAGATCAGATCAGCTTGATTCGATCATCCTTATCGGCGAAACCCTAGCTTCATAGGGTAATCGATGCAAATAGGAGGACGGAGATCGAGAAGATGAAGAAACCCAAATTGAAAACACGAACAAATCATCATAATCATGGAGATCCGTAGTCGAAGAAGAAGCAAACCTGAGAGATCAAACGAACGTAGGATATAGATCTTCGATTCGGGAACGGTTTTCAGTTCGAGAGAGACGAAAAAAAAGGGAAACTGTTTTACGCGGCGAAAGACAGAGGAAAGAGACGAACGAACTACACCTTGACTTGAGGTGTATTTATAGCGTGGAGGGTTCTTTGCTTCATTAAAAACTTATAATAGTTGGGCTCAATTTAGGCCCATTAATACGTGGGCCGAAAATGTATGAGTCCAGAAAGATAACAAAAAATTTTGTTTGCCTGATTCGGTTATACAACATCGGATTATTTCATGTTGGTTAGGTTTATTCCGTATAAATGTTTCTCTAGTGTTCGAGTTATAGTCCAATTTAAGGGGATTATTCAATCTATAAATTTGGAAAGATTTGATGATTTTGGGTGGATTAAGAAAGCTACAGTATTATGATTTGTTATCGAAACTTTATAAAATCTTACTTAAAATTACTAGATTTGGTTTTTTTTTTGTTTTTTAACTGACAAATTCTATCAGAACACTTTAAAAACAAGTCACTCAGAATCTTTTCAAATTTACTAAAAGTATTTTAACAATAATGGATGTGAAAGTACATGTTTAAATTAGTAGTTAAAAAATATGATTTTTTTTAAAAAAAAAATTAAATTTATATTTAAATATTCAACTTCAATCAACAAAACTATCAAAATCACAGAATCAACAAAAGAGATAAAGACGAGAGTGAGAAAGAAGCATAAACATATATACAATACAACACTAGGAAAACTCTCATACCATCAGGCTTAGGAGTTTCCCATATGTGGCGCGAGAACTGGTCATGTAGATTAATGAAAGAAGAACTCGATGGCTTCATTGTACTAATCCATTAAAACATTGTGGAGGAGGTGAACAGGTTTAAGGTGATTCGATTAGCCACCCAAAATGTCAAAAGAAACTAAGAACTGACCTTAGAGCACAAGAGTACAAATTTCTGCAACCCGAGACTGTCAAATATTGGTTGCACCCTCCTGTCAATGTAGGTAGATGTAACAATTGTTTAGTAAAAAATAAATTTGATAGCCATGAGAATATAACACGCTGATCCAGTCTTTTTTTATTCAGAGTACCAATTTGACTGGACCGGTGTGTTAGAGATAGATCGATTTTAAGTGCGGCAACCTAGCCAAACGATTTTCGATTTAGATTTGACTATATGATGCATGAGGTAACGTAGTAATTTCTTTGATGTGTCTGCATGTGAATATATGTTTTTTGTAAGAGGTTCGCATATGTGAACATATTGAGTCATGAAACAAAACAAAAGGAGAATACTTGGTACGAGAGAATATATAAAAGTTCTTTTGACCTAAATATATGTGGATGGACCGATACATACGAGTAGATTTATGTCCTAGGAGCGGGTATAGAAAAGTAAATGTAGCAAATATAAATAGTAGAGAAGTTGACAAATACGAAAACAAAAGAAAACCTACGAGTGTATATACTTGGTGGTGTTATACCACAGGTTCACAATGGACCATTAGCTTTTCTAGTCACATATAAATTATGTTCATGAATATTTCTCCTTTTCGAAGAATTGTTACAAAATTTGGAATCTTTTGGGAAAAAAACACAAACAAAAGTACGTAGAATCTTGACTTGGCCCCATGTATCGGTCAAAAGATAGTCTTATTTGCATTGTATGAGCCAGAAAAGTCAAACCTAGTTTTATATCTTAGAAGGAAGCATAAATAAAGTTCAAATTTCGAATGTTTTTACTTTATTACGTTCTCCTTTCAAAAAATGTTATTTTGACACTTTATTTTTATTTCATAAAAAATATTATTTATATTTTAATATATTTTTTTAATTAAATTTCAATTTTAACTTTATTATTTTAGTTTATTAATTAAAAATAAAAAATATTTTAATTTATTAGCAAAAGACACAATAAACATTTATAAGTATTTTTAAATTTGTATGAAAAAATATCATAATGACACTCAAAATTGTGTACGAGAAGCAAATTAGAAAAGTACCCTTATTTTATTTATCAAATAATAAAATAATTAAAAATTATATTTTAACTATAATTAATTGTTAAAGAAATATTGAAAATTTTATTAATTAATTTCTCAATTAAATCAGTGGTTTTAACTTAAATTAATTTCGATGGAGAGCTTAAAACTTTATGAATGAGAGGTTATTTAATTTCGGAGACCCACAACCAACAGCCGGCGAAGATTGTGGTGCTTGCAACTAGAAATATCGGTTATTTGTCATTTCTTTTTCAACTTCGAAGTCATTGTCTTGACACCTAATGATAGCACAAATTCTAATTTGGTCGAATGTGAGAAATCTTGGAGCTCGGACAATATAGTGTACGAAGATCCAGTTAGCTGAAAGTCTTTTTGTCAAAAAACTGAACCAAAAAATTGTATTATTATAAGTCTTAACATTATTAATTTATAGAGATAATTTTGATTTGAATTTTGATGGTCATTAAGCGATTATAGCAAATTATTTTGGCTAGTGCAATATTTGTTCAGAAAATATTGCATTCATCGATAAATTTAGAAGATAAGTAAAATAATATTGATCGTAAACCTATATTTGTGATTAATAATCTCAATTATCAAAATGATTAGTTGTAACAGCTTACTCGACTATCTAGGTAAAAATGATACATGTCTGATAGTTTAAAATTTATAATAAATTATCATTAACGTCTTGATAATAAAGTTATATCTCTATTGTCATTTGATAAAAAATTTATTTGTTAAGAAAACTTGAAGAAATAATTAGTTATATATGAATGTGTTATTTAGCGTAAAAATGCATTTATATGGTTCATTTGTCTACGATAGTGCCAAAAAAAAAAAAACATCATTGGCGAGACAAGTTAAGTTGCTCCTTTGTATTTTTTTTTTAATTTATATGAAATAGTATTTAATAAAAAAATCGAATGTTACTTGAAATGTTACTAGATAACATTATATTCAAAATTCTGGACTTCTACTCGTATATAAAAATATTTGGAGAAAATAAAATGTTAAATGGTAACTAGTCGTCAAATAACAATCATAGACAACGAGTATAGAGAAGAAAAAGACGAAGTAGACTCTAAACATAACTAAACAAAACATAGGGGATTATAACGACTTTGATCATTCGATATGAAGAATCTATGTCTCGGTCTGGTCTCACTAGCAATTCACTATTCTCTTTTCTCCAAGAACACTCCCTTACAATAACGCTTTATAACCGACATATAACAACTCTAACTTATATAGTTACTTATAAATTATAATTAATTAAACCAAGACATAGCTTCGATTCTCTTTAATTCGATTTTCGCAGGTTACTCCCTAAACCAAACATCGATTAATCTGCAATGCAAACATATACCAACCCTCACACGGTCACACCTATTTGTTTTGTGATAGATATAAATGCAAACAAATAAAAACTTGTTACAACAGCAACATAGAACTATATATGGCCTCATCTTCTCTGAATTGTTTTTTTCGCAAACTTAAGTTTTGAGGCTCCTTATAATGTTGTAACCAAAATTAGAAGGTCAAAAAGACTATAATACCTCTGTCTCTGTAAGATTCAAGTTTCGCAACAGATTAACTAGATATTGAGAAAAAGTAATTAGAAATATTAGGTATATCAAACTAATGGTCTTAGACCGATAACTTGAGGAACCATATATAGTATACTAGAAAGGCATCTCCTCTTTTTTTAATTTCTTTTTATGCAAATAGTAACTCATAGAAACCTCAAGTTGGGTATATGTTAGGATGGTCAGGGAATCATCTAACTTTGTCTTTTCTTAATTTTTTCTTCTTCTTATATTCCTCATGATTTGCCTATATAAACACATTCTCATATATTGTCCAATCTCCACACACACACACATCGACATAAACAAGAATAAACCCGTTAAATCAAACTCCCTTGATTCAAAAACTCTGCGTTAGCTATTATTTACTATGGACTACAGTTTGTCAATGGAGTCTTCAGAATCCCTAAGGTACTTATTTCTAGTTTTATTTAAATTATATCATCTTCTTCGATCGGGTTGAACAAGGTTTTAGTGAAAATTGTAATTTTAGTGAAAATTGTAATTTTAGTGAAAATTGTACGTAAGTAAAAGATAAAAATTGTGATACAAATTTCATTGTGATTTCAAAAGGCTTGAAATGGCAAGTATACCACAGACTCTTTCATAGACCCTCAACGACTAATATGAGTTTTGGTTTGGAATCTTCTGGTTATTACTGAAACCAAAAATCATGAAATAAATGATGCTGATGATGTTTTTAGCAAATAAATATAAATAATGATTAAAGCATGCATGGGTGCAGGAACAAGTGTGGAGGTTGTTATAGGCAATTCAACAAGAAGGAACACTTGGTGGAACACATGAGGATCTCTTATCACTCGGTTCATGAACCTACTTGTGGCATTTGCAACAAACATTGCCGATCTTTTGAGTCCCTCCGTGAACATCTCATTGGTATATATATATCAACCTTTAAATTTCTAGTTTATAAACTTTGAATTTAAATACTATAAACAAAAAAACTTTGATTTTACCAAGTGTCTTTAGCTCGACTAGAATATTACCCTAGACAAAACTTATAAATCACATGATCCAGTTACTTTTGGGATAAAACTATTATTAAATGATCTGGTTTTGGATATGAGAGATTACGAGATTTGGTCTAGAACCTTTTGGTAATAAAAAAAAAAACTTTTGACTTTAATTTCATTTTAATTTATATCATACATATATATAGGTCCATTGCCGAAACAAGAATGCAAGAACATTTTCAGCATCCGTGGGTGCAGATTCTGTCTTACGGTCCTCGAAAGCTCCAACGCTCGTAGGATCCATCAAGAGAGATGCCAGCTCTCAAACGTCAATTCTGTAATTAAAATATTCCGATCCCATTTGTGAAATATATAGTATACAAAGTTTAACTGTTTCAAACCCAAAACAACTTGCGTTTGTGTTCTTTCTCATGATTTTCTAAACGTAACATTTTTATTTCTTTCATAGAATACTTTAAAAATATTGTCAACGAACTTCAAAAGTTCAATTTTAGTCTATATTTGATTTCTTACATATACTATATAAAAAAAGACATTATTAGAAAGATTTAAATGTAAACAAACAATCTAACCTTTCTAATGATACTAATCACTAAGAAAATTTTCAGGGACTAACTACTCGTATGGCGTCCTTATGCCTAAGAGACAACCCAACAATCGACTACACTTCTTCAAGATCACCACGAGTGGTCGCGCTCTCATGCAAGATGGTTGGAGGAGGTAGTGACGGGTCGCTTGACCTATGCGCGAGAGTTTGCATAACAGATGAGAGCGAAAACGTGATTTTCCACACGTACGTGAAGCCAATGATCCCCGTAACGAATTACAGGTACGAGACAACAGGGATACGACCTGAGAATCTAAGGAACGCAATGCCGTTGAAGCAAGCACAGAGAAAGATTCAAGAATTTCTCTGTAATGGAGAACCAATGTGGAAGATTCGTCCAAGAAGCGGGAAAGCAAGGATTCTCGTGGGACATGGACTTGATCACTATCTTGACTGTCTTCAACTTGAATATTCTTCTTCCATGATAAGGTAAATAAAACATTTTACTAGACACAAAGAATAATTAAACCTAAATTAGATTAGTTTTTACTCACACCGCTTATGTAAAATTAGTCTGGATTCCGATTCATAATATGTGATCATAAATAATAGATAAACAAAAAGAATAAGTATGATAAGAAAGATATTGACAGTAGTGAAGAATAATTTATATTACGTTAGTTTATTTGTATAATTTGCTCATTTTTGTTGTTCAATAGAGATACTGCGGAATACCCTCCACTGATGAAAACAAGCAAATTAAGCAACTCTCTCAAGTACTTAACCCAAGCCTATCTCGGGTAATTCCTTTATTTCTGCATCTCTATATTATATTAAGAAAATAAAATTGTAACGCATTTTACATATTTTGAATTTAATTTCGGCTCCTATAAAATAGAATTTTTAAAATGTTCGTGAAAATAAATGCTAGTTCATCTAGTCAGACGAGTTTCAAAAATTCCATTATTATCTCAAAAAGAATTAGTCAACTACTCGAAAACATTTGTCTACTAAACCATGCATGTATACACATTATAATATTCTATAATTTTCTTTTAATTTGTCGCGTGTGATATTCGGACGCAACAACTAGAAAGTAAGGTATCCGATGTACTTTTGACGTGATTAAAAGTTTTTAATCACTGTATAAAGTACGATATGCTGATTTGTTTAAAAAGTTTCTTAAAAAAAATCGAATAAAATCAACCGATGATAATCCTAGGAATATCTCGAATAATTGATCTATATCAAAGTACGATATGTCTGTCTTTACCTCATATTTCATATCAACAGATATGCATAAACAAAAGCTTCGTATTTCTAATTTGCTCCTCTCATACCTTAAAGGTTATCCTAAAGAACTCAAGAGACAAAATTACTGAAAAAATATCTCTTGAATTAGAATATCTTAAATTCAAATCAAAAACTATATATGCTGAATTGTTACAAAAAAAAAACTATATGTGCTGAATAGAATTAAGAATTAATATATACATATATATATATATTATTTTGTGTAATAGGTTTAATGATTTAGGCTCTAGGGGTTATAACTCTAGGTACAGTTTTCAGAACTTATTTTCATTACGCTTCTTTACATTCTGTGTAATCTTAGAGATGTTCGTTGTAATTTTAACTTGTTTTCTAAAAATGTATCTATAATTTATAGTTATAAATCATGAATCAAAATGCAGACCAATTTGTTACCACAAATAACATTTGTAATTTGAACTTTCTTTCCCTTCTAAAGGTATGATATTCATGTGGGAATACAAGATCCTTACGAGGACTGCGTTGCAACGATGAGGCTATACACGAGAATGCGATATCAGAAACACAAGACTGAAGCTCAGAACCGCAACAACTACACGGCGTGGAGGCAGAACGAGCTTGAGAGGATGTCTCCCGAAGAGTTGCTCGACCTTTCACGGTCAGACTATTACTGCTGGTGCCTGGACTCGGTTGCTTGAGAATTAAAAGTTATCGTGCTTGATGATCTCCAAGAATAAGATGAGGAATGGAAGAAGTTATTAGGTATATATAGTACAACTGTACAAGTTGAACAAAAAAAAAATATAGTACAAGTTAAGATCGAATAAGAATGTCTTTTTTTAAGGTCATTTATGAACTTGACCAATTAAAAAAAAAAGTATAGTTATGAAAGTTACTTGTATTATTACTATTAGTGAATCTGTTGGTTATGAGATGCATGGATTGTTGTAGACTTGCGTATACATACGCTTTCTTTGGTAATACTAATTAATCTAAAGTACCCAGCTTAATTTTTGTATTTGTATAAAGATAAATGTAAATAGCTATCAAAAAAAGAAAAAAATAGCTATGCACTGATAAATTAACTTTTTTCTTTTAAGAAAGCGCGTACTTTTTATAATTCCAATGCGGGGATTTGTTTTATACTTTCTTCGTTTCATTTTAGCTTGTGGCTTTAATTTGTCTGACACAAATTAAGAAAACAATTAAATTTTATACATTTTACTTCTAATTAATACACTATTTTATTTGATATGAGTAATTTATAAACTAGAAAAGTAAGGATAAAACTGAAAATTTTATCATAGCATTGAAAATGCAAAACGATAAGTAGTATGAAACAAAATTTTAACTCTAAAACGACAAGTCATACGAAACTAAAGAAATATAATATAATTAAAGATCAAATAAGAATGTTTTTTACTATTAGAAATACTAAAAAGAATATCCACTAATAATCATATTTCTTCTTGTTTCCACAAACGAACGACTGTGATGATTTTTTTTTTATAGATTTCGCTAGAGCTATCCCACGAAAAAAAAAATCACTAAGAAATAAGAAGTTGAGATGATGTTGAAATCTTAGACATAGATTCAATTTTTCCATTATCTCTTATGGTTCTAAGTTGATTTCAAAACACCCTTAAACTAAAAAGTTTATTATGGGCAAACAACCATTTTCCTTGACTAAAAGTGTTCTTTTCGCATCATATGAACTACGAAACAACATCAGACTCATTCATGTTCTTCCATAATTCACTGCACAAAGTGAAGATGTTATAGATGTTATGCACTGATTTACGTTAAAAGTATGGCACATCAAGACATGCGATGATATTTGATTGCAATAAAGAACTGTCAGTTGTTCTGAGAAATCATTAAAACTTCATCAAAGAAGTACACAGATATCTGACTCTACAAGATGTTTATTCCGTCTGAAAACACATCTCGTTGGTGCATCACTAGCGTGTTTCACTGGTTGGGAGAAAAGAAAAGTCTAGCGTGGCCCTTTCGAAGATGGTTCTCCATTCGAGGGGGATCATGAAGTTGCAAGATGGTGAATGGGGAGATGGTGGTGAGGTGCAACTAATGTAATGGGATAACCGTTGGTCTTGATGGATACGTCTTCCTTTCTCTCGAAGTCATGTTGATGATGATTGGAGCTGTAAGAGATTAGAGAAGATGAAGAGCCAACTCAGGTGTGTCATAATTAGACCTGGAAACATGGTGTCCATGTCATTGATCGTTAGAGATGGCATGTTTCATTTGTCTTCAGTCTTCACATTTATGATTACTTAGTTTCTAATTAATTTGGCAATACAAACTTCCTTCTCCCATATTTCCAAAGTTTTCTAAAAGTTATAAGATAGCGATCATGAGAATCCATCAAAAAGGAACGGTATGCCTCAGAATATTCAATGTCAAAATTCTATTGGGTTTCTTGTGTCATAAGTAACCAAAATTGCAGCATCTCTTACCATTGTTATGCCAAGCACGGCCAGACCAAGAAGGTCTCTCTGTTAATTAATATTGATCAACGAACTCATCATGCTCCCTTGGGGTTCGAATAGCAGAAAAGAAGGTCGTAAAGAGAAGAGAAGCTTGAGATGGTGTTGAATTCTTAATTTCCTATACATGGATTCAACTCTTTCATTATCTTCTTTCGATCGCAGCTTGATTTCAAGAAGATTCCAGCTCTCTTTAGACACTTGGAGTTGGCAGAGATGTATCTTACTACTTCTTTCTCTTCGTTTGTTAATTGTTCTACTCAAAGATATCGAGATTCGTTGAGAAGCACAGCGGAACAGAACTCGGTTGGTTCCACGAGAAACGAAAATCCTCAGTTTGTTTCGGTTTTGATTTTTTAGTGCGTGCACGGGCCCGGAGTACATACAAACTTGGTCGATAATGGCTTCAGCAACACGCAACCTGCAATGAAACAGACGGCTCAAACCAATCTTAACTCGAAAGGATGTATTTGACACTCACTCTATAAGCTGGGAGAAGATAATGGCTTCAGCAACACGCAACCTGCAATGAACACAACAACAAATAAGTAAACTATAGAAATGCGATCATAAATACAAGTGAGATACAGATTAAAGTATTGGAATCAAAAGGAATATAATTTTGTTACAAACATGATTATCGGTACAATCTGATAAGATATCATATAATTGGCATAGTGCATTGAAGACGTCCACATGAGATTAAAAAACTCGATCTAATTGGTCCACATCAGCATATTTATTAAATAAAAAAATGTTAAATTTGATTATGATGGAAAACTTGATTTAAGTGGTCCACATCAGCTTTTAAATCAAATCCTAAATTATTAAATATAATTAAAATATTAAAAGTTAATTTAATAAATTATGTCCAACAAAAAAGTAAATTCAATCTGATTGATCCAAATCAACATATTTATTAAATCAGAAAATGTTAATATGGTTTAAAAATTTAAAAGTAGCGTCCACTTGAGATTAAAAAACTCGATCAGATTAGTCAACATCAGCATATTCATTAAATAAAAAATGTTAAGTATGATTAGGATGGAAAAACTTGATTTAAGTGGTCATCAGCTTTTATATCAAACCAAAAATTATTAAGTATAATTAAAATACTAAAAGTTAATTTAACAAATTATTTCTAACAAAAAAAATAAATTCAATCTAATTGATCCAAATCAACATATTTATTAAATCAGAAAATGTTAATATGGTTTAAAATTTTAAAAGTTAAATAAAAAATTAACAATTAACAAAACATGTATAAAAAAGTAACCATTATCAAATATCAATTTAAAAAAATCTACAACAACTCGATTTAACAATTAAAACAATAAAACTGAATAAATATATAACATAAAACGCTTGGAAGACAAGATGGAGAAAGAAAAATGGTTTTGCATGATCATTACAGCTTTCTAACAAAATTAAATGCGAATCAACATGAATCATGAATTATATATACAGTGATACACAACATCAATATGACTTTTAATAAATAAAACTAAATATTTGAACACATAAACCTTCAAAAAAAAAAAGAATTATAGAAATTCTATGAAAAACAGAAAATAATACCAAAATCTTAGCAAGATTATATTTCTCTAAATCAAATGTATATGTACGTCAAAGTTGAATAAGTGTCATTGTTATTATTTTATCTAATAGTTTTTATGAATTATAAATAAAAATAGGATAAATTACATATTATATATTAATATATAAATGAAATTTTTTATAAATATATATATATAATTTTTAATAATTTTAAAAATAGTAGAAAAAAAATAAACCAAAATATTAATACAGATTTGCGCATAACGCGAGTTATATACCTAGTATAGATTAAAAGTATTGGAATAAAATTAATATAATTTTGATATATAGAAAACTAAGGGCTTGTGAAAATAGGAAAAATAATACTACTAGTAGATAAGAGATATATTTTTTTCTTTGTCAATAAATAAAAGTAATTTAAATCTCAAAGTAAAAAAAAAGGAAAGGGAAAACAAAACAACAGACTACGATTTTAGAGTATGCCTATATATATATTGTTAATCCCTTCAGAAAATTTCAGAATCATAAAAGAAGAAAGAAAAAGAGAGAAAAACGCATAGCATACAGTTAAGTCGATCGAGATCACAATGTCTCCTTTCGCGTCAAAGCCAACTAAAGAAGAGGCTATAAAGAACCAAAACGACGTAGCGTTGATCCTTTCGGACCATCTCTTCTCTACTAAAGCCAAACACTCTAACACCGTTTTTTCGCCGGCGTCGATAACCGCCGCCCTCACTTTGGCGGCATCTGGTCCCGGCGGTTCTTTAATCGCCGGCGATATCCTCTCTTTCCTCAGGTCTTCTTCAATCGATGAGCTCAACTCCGTCTTTGCAGAGATGGTTTCCGTCGTCTTTGCGGACCGTAGCGCGAACGATGGTCCAAAGATCTCGTCGATCAATGGCGTCTGGATCGAGCAATCGCTAGCGATTGATTCGTTAGCGTTCAAGGATCTCTTCGAAAATATCTTCAAGGCTAGTTTCGATCTCGTTAATTACCGATCAAAGGTAATATAAATTTTTCTCACAACAACTATTTATTTCCTATTAATAAACTCTGTTTCTATGCTGTGATTAGCAAAACTGTAGATTTAACAAGATCAATTTTAATTTTTCGCAGTTTGAAGAAGTACGTGTGGAGCTGAATGCATGGGCTTCGAATCACACTAATGGTCTCATCAAAGATCTTCTTCCTCGTGGATCAATTACAGAGCAAACCGAAGTCGTTTATGGGAACGCATTGTACTTCAAAGCTATGTTGCACTGAGACGGATACGGAACGGGGACCGGGATGGGAAACGGCAAAACTAAAAAATTTGTAGATACGGATAGGGCATAGATACGTCTATAAAAATATTCATAGATTTAAAATATAAGAAAGTCAAATCATAAATCTTAAGGTAAAAAAATACTTAAAAGAGATGAACAAAGCAAATAATTGAATTGCTTAAAAGTCGAACCTAGAAAATGTTTAGGAGAGATCAGAGATGAACAAAGAGAACGTGAGACGTGAGAAGAGATAATTGTCATTAAAAATTTAAGTTAAAATCATAGTTTAATCTAATTTTTCTTTTTTTCTCTCTTAATTTACTTTTTTTAACTTGTAAAAAAAAAAACATTAGAGAAACCTTTTAGGAAACGTTTAGGAAACGTTTCTGAGCCGTCCCCGACAAGTCCCCATCTCTGAAACGTTACGGGTACGGAAAACGGCACCTAAATGACGTCCCCGTGCATCATAGCTTCAAAGGAGAGTGGGAAGTTCCATTCGACAAGTCACACACGAGAGACGGAGAGTTTCACCTTCTCGATGGAACCTCAGTGTCTGTGCCATTCATGAGCAGCTACGAGAAGCAAGACATAGAAGCTTATGATGGTTTCAAGGTCCTGAGGATACCTTATCGACAAGGCGGCAAAGATACCAAACACAACTTCTCTTACCGACATCGCTTTAGAGACGATACCGAACGCGACGGCTTCTCGATGTATTTCTATCTCCCAGACAAGAAGGATGGATTGGATGGTCTTGTGAAGACGATGGCATCTACTTCTGGATTCTTGGATGATCACGTTCCATTTTCCAAACAACCTGTTAGTCAATTCAGAATCCCAAAGTTTAAGATCGCTGACGGATTAAACGGTGAAGAGTGTAATGATCAAAGGCTTGTAAGATAGAATTTTGAAAACTTGTACTTTCATTAATCAGAGTTTCACGGCTTATATAGCCTTTTACATCAAACAGAATCCGAAACTTAAGGTTCAAGATCAGACTAACAGAATTGACTCCAACTAGACCGTAATACTCGGTCTTATTAACTTAACCACTAACAAAGACTCGATCAAACTAAGATACTCCAACAGCTTCTTTATTCAAACGTGCTCTAACAAAACCCTCCCTAAACTAAACTTGGTTTACCAAGTTTAGCTTATCTTCAACAGAACAGACTCCAAGCTTCCTCCTCAAATTCTCAAACACTTCTCGATTCAGCGCCTTAGTGAAGATGTCTGCAACTTGCCCTTGTGTCTCGCAGTGTTCAAGACGTATCTCCCCTTCGTTGACTAGATCTCGTAAGAAATGAAAACGAACTCCTATGTGCTTGCATCTTCCATGAAAGACTGGATTTTTAGACAGCTTGATTGTTGAGGTGTTGTCACAAAGGATGACTGTACTTCCTTTTACATCATATCCCAGCTCCTGCAAGATCTGTTTGAACCATATAGCTTGACAAGCACATACCGACGCAGCCACATACTCTGCTTCAGTGGTGGAGAGCGTAACGATAGGCTGGTTTTTCGATAACCAGGCCACAGCTGCATTATCCATGAGGAAGACATAACCTGATGTGCTCTTTCTGCTCTCAACATCCCCAGCAAAATCACTATCAGTGTAGACCAGTACTTCTCCCGTTCCTTCTCTCTTGTACCAGATCCCAAAATCCATGGTTCCTCTCAAGTATCTCAACACTCTCTTAGCAGCTTGTAAATGCAGCTGAGTGGGTTTAGCCATGTAACGACTTAAGAGACTTACAGCGAATTGCAGATCAGGTCTCGTTGTAGTGATGTACATGAGACTTCCTATGATTTGCTTATAGAATGTTTCATCTACTCGCTCTTCTCCATCATCCATGTCAAGTTTACTTCCTGGCACCATTGGATTGTAAACTGCTTTGCAACTCTCCATATCGAACCGCTTCAGAACTTCAAAAGCATACTTTCCTTGGGAAACATGAATCCCGTGTGGTGTCTGTAACACCTCGATTCCCGGAAAATATCTCATTTTGCCTAGATCAGACATGTCAAATTCTCTTTGCATTGACTGCTTAAACTCCATCATCATCAGGACATCATCGCCAATGTAGATTAAATCATCTACATAAACACTAACGAACAGAGTGTTACCGAGTTTGTTGCCTTTGATGAACAGAGTTCCTTCATTTTGTGACTTCCTGAATCCCTCCTTGACAAAGTATCCTTCAAGTCGACTGAACCAAGCTCTTGGAGCTTGTTTTAACCCATACAAAGCCTTGTGGAGTTTATACACTTTGTCTTCTTCTCCTTTGATTACATACCCCTTTGGTTGTTGTATGTAGACATCTTCCACAAGGACTCCATGTACGAACGCTGACTTGACATCTAATTGATAAATGTCCCACGCTTTGTGTGCTGCTGTAGCTAGAATTATTCTGATGGTGTCCATCCTAGCAACAGGGGCATAAACTTCAGTGTAATCGATTCCATGCTCTTAAGAATACCCTTTTGCTACCAAACGAGCCTTGTGTTTGCTGACTTCTCCATGCTCATTAAGCTTTGTTTTGTAAATCCACTTTACCCCAATGCACTTAGCTCCTTTTGGTAGATCTCTGAGCTCCCAGGTCTGGTTTTTCACTATAGACCTTATCTCTTCGTTCATAGCCTCTCCATTTCAGGCTTTTTTTTGCTTCTTCAAACGTTGCTGGATCATACAAATTAATTTCCACCATATTGACTTCATCTTCTTCATCAGCAAGCTCTTCTCCAGACACATAGTCATTCAGATATGAGGGACGTTGTGTAACTCTTCCCTACCTCACTTCAGCCTGTTCTTCTGAGATTTCTGCAGGTTGTTCGTTTCCTGCAGTTTGCAAGTTTTCTGCAGGTTGCTCGTTTTCTGCAGGTTGATCCTCTTCTTGATCACTGCTCTCCTCTTCACTTTCTTCCCATGTTTGATCATCATTCCATGTAAGATCAGATTCCACTTGATCATGATCTGCTTCCCAATTCCAGTTTCTTGTTTCTTCAAACACCACATCTCGGCTTATTACAATCTTCTTGGTCTTTGGATCATATAGCCGGTATCCCTTTGATTCTTCAGAGAACCCAAAGAAAATGCAGGTAGTGCTTTTGTCATCAAGTTTGCTTCGCTTCTCATCTGAGATATGAGCATGAGCAACACTTCCCCATACTCTGAAGTGCTCTATATTTGGCTTAACTCCACTCCAGGCTTCTTGTGGAGTAACGTTTTTTACGGTAAGAGTAGGACATCTGTTCGAGACATAGAATGTCCAATTTGCAGCTTCTGCCCAAAACACCTTTGGTATCTTCCTTGCTGACATCATCGATCTGACCATATTCATGACAGTGCGGTTCTTCCTTTCTGCGATGCCGTTTTGTTGTGGTGTATACGCAGTGGTGAGTTGTCTGCGGATTCCTTGCTCCTTACAGTAGTCAGAAAACGCATGAGAAGTATACTCCCCTCCCCGATCAGTTCTCAAGCATTTAATATTTTTTCCTGTCTCAGTCTCCACCTTCTTCTTGAATAGCTTAAAGTGATCAAACGCTTCTGACTTTTCTATTAAGAAATACACCCATGCTTTTCTGCTGAAGTCATCTATGAAAGCTAGGATGTACCTCTTTCCAGTGGTAGTGGTGGGATTGATAGGTCCGCAAATGTCTGAGTGTAGCAGCTCAAGGACTTCCGCTGCTCTCCAAGTGCTCTTCTTAGGAATGACACTCCTTGACTGCTTTCCTACCAAGAAATCTGAGCAAGTGAACTTCTGTATGCCAAAACGAGGGAGACCACGGACCATGTTTTTGCTCTGCAGCATCTTCAATCCTCGATGACTGAGATGTCCATAACGTTCATGCCATAATTTAGGCATGTCTTCTGAGACAGTTTGCAGGCATTGTTTCTGTCTCGGTTCTCCTTCACCAGCTTCATCGATTAGCATAAACATCCTGTTTGTGCTCATCTTGCTCTCAGCAATTAAACCTTTATCATTATGAAAGATCTTGCAGGCACCTCTTCTTATAATGATCGTCAGCTCCTTTTCTTGTAGTTGTCCGAGGCTCAACAGATTGTTTTTAAGCTCTGGTACATAGTACACATTGCTTATCGAGAATGCTGTATTATTCAATACCAGCTTCACGTTTCCCTTTCCAACGACCTCCATCCTCTTGTCATTTCCAAGCTTGACTGAGTGCTTGAAGTTCTCGTTCATTGTTGAAAACAGCTCTCGATCGCCACTCATGTGATTTGAGCAGCCAGAATCCAGAAACCACGCCCTTTGTCTCAGATTCCTTTGCTTTCCACAGTATGTCATCAGTAACAGCTCTGCAGTTTCTTCTAACTCTGCATAAATATCATCATCCGCTTCTTCCTCTACATAGGCCATCAGCAACATCTCTTCTGAATCAGCATAGTTCGCCTCTTCATCCCACTTAGGGCATTCCTTTTTAAAATGTCCAAGTTTGTGACACTTGTAACATTCCATCGTGCTTTTGTCTGAGAACGCTCTGCCTCTACCACGCCCTCTTCCTCTTCCTCTGGTCCCAGTTCCTCTTCTATAGGTTACTTTCAATGCTTGATCATCACCTCTGTCTGATCTCTTGAATTTTTGTTCATGAACCACGAGGGAGCTCTGCAATTCATCAAGTGAAATGCTTTCAATGTCCTTGGATTCTTCGATGGATACCACCATGTACATGAACTTCTCGCTGAGAGTTCTAAGAATCTTCTCCACGACCTTCGATTCAGTCATGGCTTCTCCATTGCTTCTCATCTGGTTGGTAATAGCTAGCACCCGCTTGAAGTATTCCTCCACCTTCTCTGATTCGCTCATCTCCAATACCTCAAAGTCTCTTCTCAACTTTTGCAGCAGAGACTTCTTCACTAGCTCATTTCCTCCGAATTTCTTCTTCATGGACTCCCAAATGATCTTAGAGGACCTCCTGTCCTGGATCTGTTCAATCGTTACCCTATCAATGGATTGATACAGGTAATGTTTGACTTTGTGATCATTTTTCTTGGCATTGTCTAACTGCGCTCTCTGCTCTGCAGTTAGCACGATTGTGCTTGCCGGTTCCTCGAACCCGATCTCCACCAGACTCCACAATCATTTTGCCCTGAAGAAATTTTCCATGACTTCACTCCAGTGATCCCAGTACCCTTCGAACTGAGGTAAATTCATCTTGTCATCTCCCATTTCTTCTCACACTTGTGTTTTGAAACTGCGGTTTCGTTAGAAAGTTCTCAAGAATCCAAAAAACAGAGCTCTGATACCAATTTGTAATGATCAAAGGGTTGTAAGATAGAATTCTGAAAACTTGTACTTTCATTAATCAGAGTTTCACGGCTTATATAGCCTTTTACATCAAACAGAATCCGAAACTTAAGGTTCAAGATCAGACTAACAGAATTGACTCCAACTAGACCGTAATACTCGGTCTTATTAACTTAACCACTAACAAAGACTCGATCAAACTAAGATACTCCAACGGCTTCTTTATTCAAACGTGCTCCAACAAAGAAACGTGCTCCAACAATGAGTTGGGATTTGTGCCAAAGACGAGAGAAGAAGACATTGTTTCTTTGTACCATAAAGCCTGTGTGGAGATCGATGAAGAAGGCACTGAAGCTGCTGCTGCAACTTATATGAGATCGAACGGGAAGGGGGGCGTCCCTAGATATGTAGATTTTGTGGCAGATCATCCATTTTTGTTCTTGATTAGAGAAGACAAAAGTGGAACTGTCTTGTTCGTTGGTCAGATCTTCGATCCTTCTATCAAATCTTCTTAGGCTCTAAGGGGTTAGGTTCAACCGGCATTTTGGTTTGGTTATAACTTATATGGAAAAGAAAAGTGGAATTAGGTTATATGTTACAACTTTACAAGATCTGGTTTCAGAGATCAGAGGTTCTTGTTAGTTTGAGCTAAAACCGCGATTGGGTTTGAAAGTCTAAGAACTGCTTAGTTCGGTTTGGTTAAAGTTTTTTTATTTGAATCCTATATTGATTCGGTTAACAACGGATCATTTTTCTTTTCTTCAATTATATTATTAGAGGTTTTTAGTTTGAGCTTTTTAATTCTTTTTTTGTTTTCGGCAGTTTGATTGAGGTTTTTAATCCAATTTTGAATTTATGAATCAATAAAATCAAGATCTATGGGTCTGACTGGTATGTCAGATGAATAACAGAATAGCGAAATAACTGAAAAATTACTAGCGGAATGAACTGAACTGAATAATATTTTAGCTGAATAATTGTGAAACGCTGAAAAGCTACTTTTAGTAGATTAATCACGTTTTGTTTTTTTTAGTTATATTTTCAACATGCTAGCGGAATCACGTTTCAAAAACATAAAAAAACGTGAAAACGTGATGAATAACATAAATGGTAAAAAATAACAGAATCAAGTTTCCAAAACATGAAAATATAAAAAAACTGCATACCATTCAAACCCTATATGTTTGTTTATTCATCAATGCCCCAGCATCGTTTACTTGCATCGCATGATCTTATGTACCTTACTTGAGTTTATGTTCACCATTAATTATTGGGAAAATTGAAAAAAGGAAAAAAAATGAAAGTTGAGAGTATATATGTTTGTTACAAACAGGTAAAACTCAAATAAAAGTTTTAACATTTTTTCAAATATTAGGAAACTGGACTCTCTCCCTCCTTTAGAGAGTTTCGGGGTGCAGTGAGAACCAAGAAGCACAAAGATACAACTTCGCTATATATGATACAAACAAAATGAGATCATGCGATGTTCGTTGTTCGTGTAATCTTATAAGATGTTTGTTGTATTATGAAATGAAACAAATTCCAGACTAATCAATTACTAGGTCTGGGCATAAAAATCGGACCCGAAAAATCCACCCGAACCCTACCCAAATTTTATGGTACCGAACCGAACCAAAATAGTGTAAATATTCGAATGGAGTCTTCACCTCTATATCCGAAGAACCGATACTGTATCCGAACCGAAAACCGAATGGGTATCCGAAATATCCAAAATATAATGATATATATATATATAAATATTAGATATATTTAGATATAATATAACCAAACTTCTCTAAATCATAATTATGAATCGAATATATTCTTTATATTTTAGATTAAAATAACCAAAATATCTGATTTTAAATTATATTATATCAACATTCAATAATTTTAGCAAAACTTAATCAAATATATCAATATATTAAAAAGAAGTAAATAGCTAACTTTTTATTATAAAAGGGTACTTATAGTTATATGATCTCTAAGAATAATATGAATGCAGAAATTTATTTGATATAATATAATTTAAAATCGAATAAGAATTTTTTTACTATTAGAAATACGAAATAATCCTATTTCAGTCTTGTTTTTGTCTTCATATTTTCACAACGACTGTGGTGATTTTGTAAAGATTTCGCTAGAGTTATGCAAAAGAATTACTAAGAGAAAAGAAGTTGAGATGATGTTGAAAGTCTAGACAGAGATTCAATTTTCCATCTCTTACGGTTCTAAGTTGATTTCAAAATACTTTTAAACTAAAAAATTAGAGCAATTTCCATAACTATACTGAAAATTTGTTTTTAGGACAAATATAACACGGAAGCTAAATTTTTCCACTCCTAACATTTTTTATTTGAGTTTTTCGATTTTGCCATTTAGGAAGGTTTTCTTAAATATTTTTTTTGTTAATGTTTCGTGACTTTTTAGGAAGGTCTTCCAAATATTAGAATTTAACATTGTTTCATATGATTTAGGAAAGCTTTCCTAATTTTTTAAAAATTTTCTGAATTATGGAAGGGCTTCCTGAATTGTGGAAAGGCTTCCTGAAAGGGTTTTCTGAATTTGAGTTGTATAAATTAACACAAAAAAATAATTATACGATTTACGAAGGCATTCCTAAATACATGTAATGATTTCCTTAATTTATACATATTAGGAAAGTCTTCCTAAAAATTTAGAATATCGTCCTAAATTTACTATCATCTCCTTCTTTATCTCTGCGACACACAACCCCTAAATTCCGTCGATTTTCTTGTTTTCACCATTGTTGTTGTTTTAGCTCGGGTTTCTTGAGCTTTTCACCCAATTATATCATATCTATCTTCTACTATATGATTTTGAGCATTCAATCCCGAAATCACTTTCTCATCAAAAAAATCTCAAAGATCTAAAAGATTCACAAATCACAATCAAATGATTTAAATTTCAGATCAGTCTTTGTCACTGATACATTCGTTTATACACTATTTTTCTTTTCCTTTTATTAACTAATGTTTTGTTTAACTAAGGTCAATACGGTCAGTCTTTAGTAAAAAATGTTATGGAAGGAACTTTTTAGAGTGTTAGTGTATATTAGGAACAAAAACTTAAATTAAGTGTATTCGTGGGCATTTCTCAAAAACTTATTGATAGGCAAGCAACCAATTTTCTAGAATTATGTCTCTGATTGTTGTTAAAAGGAATATGAGCAAGCTTGAATCATTACCAAGGAGGGCACGCAGTGATGTGATTCTTATGTTTATGCTCATTAGGGTTCAGTGGTATCTTTCTAGTGCTAGATAATGATCTGATCTTTCGACAAGAGTTTATGGGTGAACATTTCCTGATGATCTTGCAGGTAAGGTTTTTGCTATGTTTCTTGAAACAACTTAGGATCCATGGTGGAATCCGCAAGGTAACGATCACGAGAATCCATCGAAAAGGAATGGTTATGTCAACCTTCTATTGAGTTTCGTGTGCGAAAAGTAAATAAACCTGTGATGGATGAATGTAAGCAAGTGAGATATAGATTAAAGTACTGGAATAAAAAGAATATAATTTTGGTACAAACTATGATTATTGTTACAATCTGTTAATTAAGACATATAGATTAAAGTATTGGAATAAAAATGAGATAATTTTGTTACAAAATTAAGGGCTTATAAAAAGGAGAAACATAATAGTAGATTATTATTAGAGATGTATAAAAGTAAATTTAAATTGAAAAGGAAAAATTATACAAACCGACTATTGTACTAATCTATATTATTAAAAGAGAATCATTAATTTGAAATGTTCAAAAGTTTCCTATAGTATTTACTAAATGTGCGATTAGATTTACTAGAAAATTTAATCATTTCATTAAGGGTAATTTTATCTAATTATTAAACTGTTAATAAATATATTTAATTAAATTAAATTATATTAGTTTGTTAATAGATAATACCAGTAAATTATATCTGATACTAATAAAATTCAAATTAATTTGATTTGAAAATTATTTTAAAATCTTTCATAATATCTTAACATAATTATCACATATATATGGCATGAATAACTAATATCATATTATTAATTGACAAGCAAATTGGACTGTGGTTAAGAGTTATCATGGTTGTTTACCTTTTACCCCTCTTGTGAATTAACTTGATTTACCCTTGATGAAATTAGTTAACTAAACTAATTTAATTTTATATTAATTTCTTATTTATTCCTATTAAATATTTGTGGTAAACTAAATTTAAACAAATTTTAATTAATTAAGTTATTATTCTCGGCTAAATCTAATAATGAAAAGTTATAATTATTTTACGGTTAAACCTAATAATGTTTTTTTTGTAAACCTAATAATTATATATATATATATATATTGCTTGCTAACTCTAGATACAATAATTAGTCGACGAAATCCACAAAACCCTAATCCTTTTTTTAGTTGGTATCCTCTACACTGGGCAAAAACTCTGATTTGCATCGGCGTATTTTTAATGTTGAACAACATCGTTTGTTAGCTCTAAGCTGTATTATTCTCATTGTTGTTTGTCTTGATTTATTTTTCCGAGTTTTGTTTTATGTTTCTATTATGTAACTAAAAGTCTAATCCTTATATGTTTTTTTAATTAATCGTGTTTCTCCATAATTTTTCTTTCTTCTTGGTTTTCTCCATGGTTTTTTTTTCCTCCACTAAGCTTTTTATAGATTCTTTCTTTTTAGTTTATTTTTGATTGATTTGTAGGTACAAGCTTTCTTTTACTTTTTCTTAGTTTTTAATGCCTTTTCTAATGTAAATGATTTTTTAAATATGAATTTAGGTGATATCCTTTTCTTTTATCTATATATTGGTGTCATTTTATGGAAGCTTCGAATCAATTTAGTCTATATGTTTGTATTTATTTTGTGTGTGTTGTGTGATGTTTTGTATTATATTTTTATAGTTATTGTAAATTTATGTGTTGTGTGATGTTATTGTTTATTTTAGAAACTGACCCACATGATTAATAAAAAATGTAATAAGAAAACCTAATTTCTTATATTCTTATTCTCAGCGTTCAGCTCTTTATTCTCTTTTTCGGTCTTTCCTGACCATTGGGATATTTGAATATACTTCATCTCATTCGGTTGTAATTGATGAGACACACACCAAGATTCTGGAAATATATGCATATAAGAACTACAGAAAACCTGAAGGTTCTCATGATGTAGCGTATCATGAGAACGCACATGCTCTCTTCCATTAGGCACATATATTAGACATGTAGGTCACTCTTGAACTTCGCATCTTTATCCTTTCGAATTCCGTAGTGTTTTAATACTCTATTGGAACTGATGGCAATCACCAGCCGATCCCATCTCTCGGTTCATCTAATGAACAGATGGAACCATCATCCTGAAATACCGGTGCAACGATAGAGACCGGTTTTAGACTATCTGCAAAATAATTTTTTAACATCCGTCAAAGATAAAGAGAAGGACGGAGTGGTTATGAAAAGCTGAAGCATGATAAGAGCTTATGTTATATTTTTGTTCTTTA